AGTGCGACTCTTTAAAAAAGCAGCATTATAGTACCATGTTAGTGACACAAGTAAAATATAAACACATGAGTAGCAGAAGTAGTGTTTTTCCCTGAAAAATGTAAGCAGTAGTGTGAGATGCCTGCTTAACGCATTGGTTAAACAACAACTGGAGGCTAGCACGTGGCTCTTGCGTGTCAGACCTGTCTGGGCTTGACTGGTTATGCAGTAATATCGCAATATGACGTTTTTATTGGACGTAAAAATTTATACCAGCATTATTGTGGATGATATCTTAGAACACGGGTCTATTTAGGGCGGCGTGTAAGCAAATACGAGTACAGGTCTGGTTTTTAAACTTTGCTTGCTCTTTGGTGTAGGCTCTAAATTTTTTTTTTTTCATCAGTTTCTTAAAAAATAGAAGAATGTGTATAAAATTTGGTATTGCAACATCCAGGTGGTGTTAAAAGATTTGCTTAATTCTGCGCCATAGTTATTTAACATCTGGGTTGTGTGTATTACTGTCCTCATATTGTCTGAACTCTCAAATAAGCTGCTATTGAGTTGTAAAATGCACACTGCAGTCTCTGCAGTCCTCTATCCTCGTTTCAGCTCTCTTTGCTACTGTTTTGTTTGCCTTCATCAGCACGGGTCTGTTTGATTTTACAACATCAGAGGTCATCGCAAATGACTTTCAACTTGATAAGGGGAAGGTTGTTAGCCCCTGTTCAACTGATAAAGCCTTCAGCAGTCATGAACTGTTTGTTTCTTTATTCCCTTCATCAGTCTATTACAGGCTTTGCACACAGCTGCTTCCAGTACGCTATTGCCAAGAAGTGGCCCCTGTACATGAGCACAAAGAACACCATTCTTAAAGCCTACGACGGCAGATTTAAAGACATCTTCCAGGATATCTTTGAAAAGTGAGTGTCTTCTAGCAGAAAGTTAGAAGACATTGGACAAATGACCCATTTGTCCAGTGTCATTTGCACAATTATTGTTAAATCAACAAATGCATTTAATTTAAGCTCAAATTCATTAGTATTAATCTAATTAGTATTTGGTGCAACATTTATAACCATTTTATCACTTTAATGTTCTTTTTAAGAAAAAGAAAAAAAAACAATCTTATTGTGTTGTGTCCTCTGCAGGAATTACAAGCCAGAGTTTGACAAACTGAAGATCTGGTATGAGCACAGGCTTATCGACGATATGGTCGCCCAAGTGCTGAAGTCTTCCGGAGCCTTTGTGTGGGCTTGCAAGAACTATGACGGAGACGTTCAGTCCGACATCCTTGCACAGGGTGAGATATTCGGAAAACATCACTGTTATAAAACACTGAAACCTGCAAGCATATGAGGTGCGTGCCAATTTTTGGGTAGTTGCACTAAAAGAAGATGGTGTGTTTCCTGTTTTAGGCTTTGGCTCTCTGGGACTCATGACATCAGTTCTTATCTGTCCTGATGGCAAGACTATTGAGGCTGAGGCAGCCCACGGCACCGTGACCAGGCACTATCGTGAGCACCAAAAGGTTAGTAACCACCAACCCTGTGGGGTCTGTGTTAGTAAATCTCAAGTTTCTGCTTGCATACGCAGTGTCATCTGTAGAGCTATATTGCCATCTTGTGGTGAAGAATGTAATGACAAGTGTCTGCAGATGCTCAGATCTATTAAATATTTGATGCTGCAGATGATATGTTTAGTAGTTTTTAATGCACACGGTGTCTCTATCTCTGCTTTCAGGGTAGGCCAACCAGCACTAACCCCATTGCCAGCATCTTTGCCTGGACCCGGGGCCTGGAGCACAGAGGGAAACTTGACGGCAACCCTGACCTCATAAAGTAAGAGAGGTTTAATATTTCAGGAAACTTACTCATGCTAATGTGAAATGTGGCCTTTTTTAATAAATGTCTGCATTTTTCTGCAGATTCGCCCAGACACTGGAGCAGGTGTGTGTTGCGACTGTAGAGAGTGGTACTATGACCAAGGACCTGGCAGGTTGCATCCACGGCCTGTCCAAGTAAGTTTATTTCCCTGCTGACACCTTAGTTTGCAGTGTAGTTGCAGACTTACTGAAATCACAGTGTATATATACTCAATAATCATTTTGTTCGATAGTTTTTGCTGCTAGAGTTCTGCTTTGCTTCAGAACACTGGAAGTATTAAGTAATATATTTGAACATTACCACGTTCACTGCAGAACACATTTAATTGATAAATCATTTTAAACTCAACCAATCTAATCAACTAGTTTTACTTTAACCTTGTGACATTAAGGGTTTACTGCTTAACCTTTACATTTATTATGTAACAAGGGAATAGGATTGAAGGAAGTCTTGATTACCCTAACAAATAGTTTATCAACAAAAGTAATCTGTAGCCATTTTTTATTTTGTTAAATCAAAAATGCCAAACGTGTGTCATCTTCAGCATCTAAGGACTTGCTGCTTGTTATTTTTATTATTGCATCAAATAATTTGAAGATATCATCTTGAGCTTTGAGAACTAGTGGCATCCATTTTTCACTGCTGGATGACATTTTTATAAAACACACAAATTTTCACAGGAGAATTTGCAGATTCATCAGTCATACAAAAAGTCATCAGTTGCTGCATTGATTTTGAAGGATGCTGCCATTCAGGCCTTGGTGCATCTTTATGTTTTGGGACATTAAGCCTATGATGGCAGCCAGAAAATGAATAAGGTTTGACGCTACGGCGTTAATCTTTAATTATTGATAATCGTGTGGATTTAACCTCAAGTTAAACCCAAGACAGCATTTAATCTTTGCCCTGATTCTGACCTGCACTTTATGTAAACTTGTCCTCATCTTCCGGAATATTTGCGAGGTTTTAGGCCTCTGCCAGTTTTCATTACTATATATTTTTCAGCAACTTATTTAAAAAGAAAAACACAATTTAAATTTCACTTTCAAGGTTGACAAAAAGCAAGATTTATTTATTTTTTCTAGGATGGCTTTTAAAGTCAATCAAGGAAATATTTAGTGTGTTTTAATTGAGTGAACGTTTCTGATTTGTAATGAACAAAATAAACTGCACATGTAACGCAGGATTTTCCAAGTGCATCTGCTTAAGAATGATTGATGTCGAGCTTGTAAAATGTTTACTCAAGAATTCTGTAGCCTTGCCATCTAGTTCCTCCACGCTTTCGTGCACATTTAGTGTATATACTTATCTGTTTGTTGCATTGACTCATTTGTTTGCTTGAAGGCATTGCGGTTTTCTCATCTGCCGCTGAATGAATGCTTCATATAATACACTGTTGTCTAAAAGCTACATGCAAAATGAAATGGGGACAACCTTGTAGTACTCAGTTGTAGTCTGTTTAATCATGATATGTAAAATGTATTATTTTAATAATCCCTGTGTAACTAACCAACAGCATTATCTTGTTTGTGTTGCTTGCATGTTTTTACGCTTTTGTTTTTCTGTTGACTTTTCTGATGTGCCGCGTCCTGTCTTTTCAGCGTCAAGCTGAACGAGCATTACGTCAATACTACAGACTTCCTCGACGCCATCAAGACAAATCTGGATAAGGCCCTCGGAAAGTGAAGGACTTGAAAGAATATGATAAGCACGAAGATGGCAATGTCACTCTTCTGTTTTTGTACCTCATTTTTAACTTAAAGGTCAATAAATCCACTCGCAATTTAATCAGAAGGAGAAAAAAGTACTGTCTATAGGATTACATAGTTCTCTTAGGTTTTTAAATCGTTGAGAATTGTCCTTTGAACCTCATGCCTCCCTTACTGTCTGTCCCATTACTTGCAGGGTTTTATTTTTGTAATGTGAAGTATTCAGTACTATGTAATGCCTTGGGCAAGACTGAAGCCTGTGTCTCACACATTTGCCAATAAATCTTTTAAACCACTGTTTGTGTTTTGCGTCTGTACAAACGAGAGCTCTGCCACTTTAAAGGTAAATAAATTTATTATCTTACAGTATTGCCTGGTACACAACATTGTACATACAACTCTATCAACATTATCTCCACACTAATGTCTAATACAGAAAGCCATTTAAGATGAGCGTCTTTCTTGTGTCATCACAAAAAAAGTGATGGAGTGAACACAGCAGCTGAAAAACTCAAAAATGAGCTTTCTTCTTCTTCTTTTTCTTTTAAATGCACTATATCAACATTGCAAATGGATACCTTATTCGCAGGTTACAAGTTTGAAAAGCTAAACACTGGAGAAACTGAATATATTGAGCATTTCCAAATCATTTTGCACAAGGTCCGTGGCCCTGTCACATGTTGGGAGGTTGTCGTTCATCACTCGAGACCAGTGTACAGCATGATGGATGGCATGCTCGTGTAGACACACTAGGGCACTTAATATTTCTGTCCGAGTTTTTTGGGAGGACAATTCTTGTTGAGATTCATCCATTTAAAAAAACAAAAAAAACACACAACTGCAATACAAATGCGGGGCTTGCTTTTGAAAAATGCTGCAGTCCTGTGAAGGCTTGGATCAGGGAAAACGGTGAGGTTTTGCTGAAAGAGATGCTGCACCACAGTCTGTTTTCTGTGGTAATCTTTTGAAAAGATCTACAGATGGGTGGGAGGGAAACCTGAATGTAATTTCTGGAGGTCTGTGATTGGACCCCTAGAAATTCAATGTCCCAGCTCAACACAGCAGCAAGGAAAGGAATCCAATGGCGCCAGTAGCTCTGAGATTTTGATCTAATTCTTTGGTAAAAGGGATCCAACCATTTTTTTTAAAAAGTGTTTTTCTTCACGTTTTTATTAGCATCTTAAAACATTCCACATAAACAGTTACATTCATAGACTAGAGATCAATACAGGGTGACGCTTGTTAATGCAGTAATGTAAAAAGTAGACACAGTGGTCCTCAGTGCAACGCACTGATTGCAGTACCAGCCAGCGTACTAGAGGGCTGATACATTCTGTACAATAATATACAATAAAACACAGATTGCAAATCCAGTGGCATTTTCAGTCGTTTTGCAGTTTGTCACAGTTTAAATCAAAGTGAATCATTAAGTTCTGCAACTTTATTAGCTTTGGCAAGTGAAATGAACAGCAACACCTGTTTCCTTCTTTAACCCATGAGCTGACCACAGAGAGGGGGACCGGGATTGTCTGAATGAGGACGTGCAGTGAGACATCAACATATGCACCTATACCTGTAGCTAAGCTTGTGCTTTTCAAATTGAGCTCAGATGATGTTTAACTGTTGTTAAACAACTCACAACATATACAAATGTGTGTAGATATATATATATATTTTTAAATCCTTTGCTCCTATTTTAGGCTGTCCATTTCCTTCAAATATATTTATCTGTAATTATTTTTAAACGTTTTAGAGATGAAAAATATGTAATTAGATTAAAAAAGTATATATTTTTTTTAGATTCCAGTGCATACTGATGTGCAGTTTTGCTAGGCTTCTTCACGTCCTTGAAGAGGAGCCCAAGCACTTTGCCTTTAACAGCAAAAAAACAAAATAAAACAAAACAAAAAGCAATCCTATTTTCATTAGGTCACACCTATATTCAATTTTGGGTCATTTTTAATAATTCACGCAGTGTTGAAGCGTCCGGCGCCCTTTCCGAAGGTGCTGTAATACTCCATTTGAGAGAGTTTAGAGATGTCAGGTGTGTTGGTGTTGTTGGCCCGGTTTTCTCGCTCACTGAATTCAAAGCTCTCCTCTTCGTAGTCCTCCTGGCCTTCTGTCTCTTGGGGGGGCTCTGAAGAAGGGACAAAGGAGGATACAAATATAATTCTAGTTTCACCACATACACACACATGCAGAGCTCTTCCTAAAGACATATGGCCACATTTAGGACAGCCTGTAGATTGCCCCTCCTCGGTATCAGTCTCTACTGATAGAGACAGGCATGTCTAATCCAGGCACTGCTATATTTACTGAGCACACGAGGAGAGAGTGACAGAAACATCAAAATGCTCGAATACTAGATTATAGTACATACTGAGTCAAAGTGCATTAGGGACAGACTGAGTGACAATAATGCGACATGAAGCTCACCCCAAACAGTCCCACTGGGAAATTTGCCACACATCACCCATCAACAAATTCAAATAGCATCTGTTTTAATTCAGAGTTTAATTAAAGTCACCAAGCCGCTCACCGTGTCCATCTATCGTGGCGTCCATGATGCCGTGTTTGACTTTCATGTGTCGACTCAGGTTGCCCTTCAGGTTGAACTTGCTGGTGCAGTAAGGGCACTTGAAGGGCTTGCTGCCAGCGTGGAGATGCATGTGGCCGAGGAGGTTGTACATTCTGTTAAACGACTTCCCGCATACCTGAAAGACACGAGTACAACAGTGAGTATCGCTCCGTGCTTCATCCCAGCGAGATCCAGGTGATTTTGCGAAAGGTGCCACTTGCTTCCCCCACCTTGCATTTGAAAGGCTTCACCGGCAGGTGGACAATCATATGCGTTTTCAGGGTCTGCTTCTGGACAAAGGTCTTGAAGCAGACATGGCACTGGAAGGGCCTCACGCTGGCGTGGATCAACATGTGTCTCTTCAGGTTGGCAGACAGGGTGAATTCTCTGGCACAGACATCACACTTGAATTCTTTCATGCCCTGGGGACACAAAAAAAGTGTTTGCGTCCTTTTAATTAATTTGGCTTAAATATATGGTCGGGTGGAAAATAAATAATGAGTCACAGAGAGAGAAAAAAAAAAAATCACAAGGCGCTCACATGTGTGCCTGTTTGCTGCAATTGAGCATTTGTATTCTGGCTTTTTGATCCTACTCGTGTAGATTATATTTCTCCCCACCCCCACTTGTTGAGTGACAAAGATGAAAAACCCTGGCAATGGGAAGAATAAACTAAAACTTTTTTACCATGTTTTTGACTTTTATTTTAATGTTCAACAAAGCGTGTTTTATGAATAGAAGGGCTTTTTTTTAAAATTTAGTCTAAAGTAGACTATACAATGAAATGGAGAGAAAGACTAGAGTGATTCATCTGACACAAAGGGAAGTAGCTTTGCGAATGACACACGACACAAAACACATGCTAGTGGGGGGTTGAGACGCATACAAAAACTCAAGGTCTTTGAAGACTATGTTTACAAAGCAACTGGTTTTGGAGAAAAGGATGTGATGCCATATACCCCGTTTTTTTTCCATGAGAATTCATACTGCAGACTCTTATTGAAAGAGTCCAAAATACTTCCCTTTTAACCCATAAATCTCTTTTGTGCTCATGTTGATAATCACATTTTGCTGCTTTTAAATAGTGATGTGTTGCTGCATGAAGCTAGCATACTCCTGAGTGTATTTTGAACACATCAACTGGTAGACGAAGGCACATCATTGGGTTTCAGTACCTTAAGTGGAAGGGCGTGCGCTGCCAGTACCTTGTGAGTGAGAGCGTGCTGTCGGAGGTGGTGGATCTGGACGAACTCCATGCCGCACTCGGGGCAAACGTAAGGCCGCACGTTCTGGTGCTTCATCAAGTGGTTCTGCAGCTGGCTGCGGTAGGCGAAGGACTTGTTGCACTCTGTGCACTGGTACGTCGTGGGTCCCTGATGGCTGGTCAGGTGACGCTTCAGGTGCGCATAGGTTGGAAACTCGAGGCCGCACTGAGTGCAGACATGGCACTGGCCGTTCTCGTGTTTGTTCTCGTGGGTCCTCAGTTCACTGGGGTAGGCAAAGCCACGGCCGCAGAAACGACAGCTGTAGGGTTTCACGTCTGAATGTTGCAGCATGTGCCTCTTCAGGTGGCTCGTCTGCGTGAAGGCCTTCTCACAGACGGTACACTTGTGCGGTCGAGTTCCCTGGTGCGTGAGCAGGTGAGTCTGGAGGTGACTTGGCTGCTTGAAAAGCTTTCCGCAGTGTATACATTCATGAGGCTTAATTCCATTGTGGCCCAAGATATGTGTTACTAGGTTGTATTTGGATGTGTATGACTTCTCGCACATGCGGCACTTCCAGCGCTTCAAGCCCTCGCCTACGTCTACGCAGTAAGACTCATCGATCTGCACGTTGATGTCCAGTCGGTCAATCTGCATTCGTCTTGCGAGACCCTCTGGGTCTGACCACAGCATGGCTTGGTTGTTCTCCTCATACTCTGTTGGCATTGCCATATCTGCAGACTCATAGGCCACCTCACTAGAATCATAATAACGATTCTCCACAGGACTGCTTGTTTCTCCGGTGGTCTTAAGGTTCAGTGCCTCCTCCTCCTCTTCTTCTTCCTCTACTACTAACTCTTCTTCTTTCCTCACTCTTTCCCTACCAGAGCTTTCATCTTGTTCAGCCTCTGGCTGTCCATCTGTTTGTGGCCTGGATGTGTCTCTCACACATGAAGGACAGTTTCCACAGGCTTGCTCCTCTTTCAGAGTACCTTGCTGGATGACTGGATCATCTGACTTGCCGGGACTACCCCTGCTGTTCATGTGAATACACGAAGGAGGGGTATCAGAGTCAAGTCTTTCACCTTTAACCTGAGGCTGTGGACTGGGTACATTGTGCGGATGACCCTCTAATTCCCCATCAATCCTGGGCCTTTTGGTTCTCCCACGGGGCCCGGGCCGTCTTCTCTCACTGCAGTGGGGTTGCGGCTCTAGCTCCCCAGCAGGCTCAGGCAGGTAGTCCCCATTGGCCCCTATCAGCTGGTCAGCATACTCATACTCCACTGACTCTGGTGGTGGAGGGGGGCATTCTCTGGGCTCCCCTGTGTAAAAGCCATTAGGAGCAATAGTCGCCCCAAATATTTCATTCTGGGAGATGAGGCCAAGAACGGCAGCCTGAGCCAGAGATAGCACGACCACAGGCTCCGTCTGTGTGCCCACATCCACTTGGCCCTCAGTCATCTTTGGGTATGTCCGCACCAAGCGGCCACTCTCCTCCTCCTGGAAGAAAACACACACACACACACAGACATACACCATAAGTCAAAACGAACTAGAGGCAAAACTGCATCTGTGTCTCTGTGTGCTTTTTATTATTCCGTTGTTACAAAACCTGTTGCACAATTTCTCCTCGCATATTCTCGCTTCCTCATTTGCAATCAATCAGGTCAAAGGCAACGCAACCATACAATTTAGCCTTTAAGGTTCAGCATGTCAGACTGACCCCAGCAGCTACAGAGTCTTCCTTAGCTGGGAATTAGGGGAGAGTATTAAGAGAAGGATTCAGCGCTACTCCGTGAAAGCTGCGTTCGGACTACGCCTTGTGTCTTTGCTCTGAATCCAGAGAACATTAGATTGAGGAGATAAGACAGATCTGTGTTAGCACCCGGCTTCCTTCCTTGACAGGCTTTAGAATAACAAAGAACACAACAAGGGATGCAGGTCCAGCCAGGATGTTGACTTCCGTGGACTGTCCTCAGCACTTCCTGTGGGGTCCTGGGACAGCCTTGCTGACCAAAGTTAGCTCATCACTTGAGCTATCTCTGCCATTCATAAAGGTGAAAAGTATCTCAACTCTATACTAAGAGATCCCGCCGTAGCCAACTTTATAATGCCTGCCACACTGGGCTCCTTTAACAAGATGATATATGCCGGCAGGCAGTCTCATATCCATAACAGACATTCGATTGAGCTTAGAGCTCATTCTGTATTCCAGACCAATGCATAAGACTCGCTAACTTAATTGTATGGTTCGGATGTGTTTCAGACCCACACGCGCATGTTTATCCTGCCGCCTGTAAAAGCAGAACAGTGAAACTATGGGGAAGAAATTGTGGTATGACCAGAATTGGCCCTCTGTGGTAAAAGAGAAGCGGGTATTGCATGCCACTAGTTTCAGGTTATTTCTCAGCATGGCTCCGACGAGTAGGAAAATGTATAGTGAGAAGCTGACCCCTGGTTTCTTTGCAGACAGCACTCTAGCCTTCACACTGCCATATAAATAAGAGCTGCTTCCTTTCCTGACACAATACTGAGAGAAAAGAAAAGAGTGGATGGAGAAAGGAAGAGGAGATAGAGAGCAGGAATAAAGGTGTATGTGTGAGTGAGTGTGTGTTGGGAGAGGGGAGTAGACCTGGATGCCCTGATAACCACGTCATTTATAATTACTGCTTTTAAAGTAGTCAGACAGAGACAGACTGTGTGTTTGTGAGAAAGAAAAGGAAAGAGACTGGGTGTGTATTTGAAAGCGCGCGCGCGTGTGTGTGTGTGTGAGAAAGAGAGAGAGAAAAGAGGGAGGGAGGTTTGAAGAGAAGGAGAAAGAGCTGTGGGCGGGGGAGGAGTGGAGGGAGGGAGACAGAGAGAGAAATGAGATGGAGGGGCTGAAAGATAAAGAAAGAGGGAGGGGAGGGAGGGGAGGGAAGGGTAACGAGAGATTGAGTGAGCATGTGAGAGGAGGGAAGAGAGAAAGGAAAAGGATAGGGAGGGGGTGTGTGCGAGGGGGGAGCCGGAGAAAGACAGAAAGACAGAGTGAGTGAGTGAGAGAGAAAGAGGGGAAGGAGGAGGAGGAGGAGCGGGGGGGGGGGGGGGCTGTAGAGAGAAGAAAAAGCACAGCAAAATGAAAGGCTGACAAAATGAAAGAGAAAAAGACAAATGACAAGTAGACAGAGAAGGTAGGGTAATAATTGCAAGAGTCCGTACTTTCACATTTAAAGTTGCAACTGAAAGACACCTAAGGACAAACAGTCAGAGCAGAAGCAGAAGCATGCAGCACAGAGATAGAAACACAACTATTATTATGATTTTTTTTTTTTTTTTTTTTTAAAAGAAGGATGTTCCTACTGCAGCACTCATGTGAATGTGGAGGGGGAAAAAGTAATCTTGCTTCCCCTCAAAACACACAAAGACGGACAAGAGTGCAAACAGCTCACTAACAAACTGCAAAACAAGTAATCGCCACCTCCTCCTCCCCCCCCCGCCACCCCTCTCCCCTCTAAAATCTTCCCCTATCTTTCGGTTACAAACTCACCACATTGTTCCTTGAGTGATGTTTAAGGTGTTTCAGGGATCTCATCCTTCAGGAGAAATGAGTGGAGTAAAAAAATCCACCTCCTATTTATATCTGTGGGAGAGTGGGGCGGTCCCACGGCTCATCCTCCTCCTACTGTTGCTGTTATCAGAACTGACTGTGCCTGCCCCCCCCTCACTTCCAACAGCCCTCCACCCCCC